AGTCCTTCTCCATTCATGGACGCCAGTGAAGACAGTCGAGCCTCCCCAGTTGTATTTCTTGAATAGGTTTTATGTGTTTGAGGGCTGAAAATGTCCGCTCTACAGAGGCAGCAGATATTGGGATTGTCACCGCCCAACATGTCAGCCCACTGACCAATCACATACTTGTAAGCCAGCTAGCAGGCTCTGGCATGTCAAAGAATACGCCCAACATGTCAAACTAAAGATCTGATTGGTTGAACACTATGACAATCAACAATATCGTCCCCATTCACTTAAACTGCACATGGATTCACTTGAGAGTCTGCAGGTCTCTGCCTCTGTTCTTACCTAGAGACACAGAGGTGAAATCTGATTGGATAAAAGCTCTACTTAAAACAAGCTGCACTGGAAGCAGAGCAACTGAGGAAGACAGGAGCTGTGCAATGAGAAAATAAGATAATGGGAAAAATATTTTTATTAATTACAATACATGTAGTGTATTTAAGAAAAATTATTAAATTATAAAATAGATATAACTTTGTGATTCTGTTTAGGCAAGCAGAGAAGCCTTTGCAGGCCCTGACGGCCCACCACTGTGATTCACTCAACTTGTAGAGAAGTATCCACCTCTTCACAAAAAAATACTGTATTATGCTGTTAAATTACGGTGGTCTGCTGTTATTGTTAATTGACGGCATTAACTGTTAATTTACATGCGAGGGATGCACATTTAACTGTATGTTACAGTTATTATGAAATACTGTAAGATACCGTTGAAAATCCACCGTAAATTTACAGTAATTCGTTACAGTGTAGGATGTTGTTGTCATTCTTTATTGTAAGGAATACACGTAAATGACTGGATTATCTTGAGGAACAATTTGTGGATTAACCCGTCGACTAACCCGTCGATTAACCCGTTGAGATAAACTGCGATACTTTTAGAAAGAAAGGAAGTTGTTTTCATCAACTTGTTTGAGGGAAATTGGATCAATAAAAACCTTTTTTGCTTTCACCTAGGAGTGGTGTGAGCTATGTGCATAGGACAAGAAACACATCTACTTAAGGTTTACACTCTGCTTCAAGTTTTGGACACTACAGGGGTGTTTGGGGATGACTTCGACTAAAACCTGTCAAGAGAGATGTGTGAGTTGCTGAACACCAATAAAACACAAACCACCGCTTAGAACCCTCAATCTGATGGACTCAATGGTTCAGTTGCACCTTGCTCTCCATGTTAATTCTGTTCATAACAGATAATCAGACAAACGGGTTGTACTCTTGCCATATGTCACTTTGGGTTGCTGTAAAGTCATTAACTCCATAATGACAGCATTTTCTCTGGGTAAATGATCCACTTCATCTTCTGTGCCGTTGGAAATGCAGTGAAGCGATTTCATCTGCAGCGATCCAGCGCTGCTCACAAGCCACAGATAAGTAGCAGGACCAGATTAAAGTCATTCATTTCACACTCTCTATATGCATGCATTCTCTTTCTTTCTCCCCGGCTCTCTCTCCCTCTCTGATCTCCTCACACATTATGATAATGAATTTCACACACGCCAGTTGCTGAGACGGGATCTTGAATCTTGAAACGTGGATGTTTGGAATTAAGGGTTGTGGTAGTGTGGTGGCCACGCTTCCGCTGCTATACGGGGAGAGATGTGGGGGCCTTGCTGCCTGCCAGTGCTCTCCTGAAGATGCTGCCTCTGCCAGGCCTCCGTCAAACCCCTACTGGGAGTGTTCCCTTAGCTGAGGCAAGGCACATCCCCAAGCATGCCCCACCATTTCTCTGCTTCAGAGGCTTTACTGAGCTCAGCCCCACTGCCTCTGCCAGCAAGCAGCATCCAGTCACTCACACTAAGAAGTCCCTTAGTATCAACCTGCATGCAAATAAGGATGAACGATGAGCAGGCAGCACTCTACAATACTAAAAGGAGCAACGCACAGCTCTTTTCCAGTTTGACAGATCTGCAATCAGGGAGCCTCAGGAAAAGTGCTGGCTACTGACTACTGGTGGCACATGTGGCACCTGACATCTACATATAAGAAAAAAATATTTTCAGACTTGTATTTTTGGATTGGACTTTTATGGGTTTTTATTTTAAAACGTTTGTATATACATACTTTTAAATGATAATGAAACGGATGATTTATTTTCATTATTTTAGCCGATTGTTGTAAATGACTATAAAAGTAATAATTTGGAAAGAGTGTATTATGTTCCCTTTTGTTTCAAAACCAGCAAAATCATACTTAAATAAAATGAATGAGAAACAAAAAAGTACAATGTGGTTACTCGAAGGATGTATACAGAGAACGGGTGGCTCAGGTGACTCAACTAAAATCATAAAACTGATTTATGGCAGCTGACCTGTCGTAACAACAATGGGCGTTCTCAGGAAATGTGGCTCCACCCGCTCAGCAGCTTCTTGATGGGTGCCGAACGAGTGCCGCTGTTGTGACACCTGACTGACGCTTGCCACTGTCAGTAGTCGCACTCGCTGTCTCTATCCAATGAATCAGTAGAAAAGGTCACATACTAATGTGTCTTCATCATCAGCGGTGTTCTCATTGAGCCGTCGCCCCCTCATGGGGACATTTAGGACGTTTGAAGGCCCTACACTATTTTGTACTTACAATGATTACACCTCTTTTCAGGACTGTGTGGGCATAAACGCACTGCAGTAGATTGAAATTTCTCTCACTGTCCATGAAATGAGAAACTTTCTGCCATATGGGTGGATCAAAAAAAAAAAAAAAACTTGGACAGGACATTTGTTTGAAATTTCGCCCCATTTAAAGTTATTCAAAATGGCAGATTCCATTTTTAAGGGATTCCGGAATGGCGACTTCTCAGAGGATGGTCCCAGGAATCCCGTATTTTGCACATACAGGGCGAGTGGGTCCTTGACCAAAGCCCAGATCACCACTTGCCCTCTGTGGCATCTCGAGAAAAAAAGTTTATTGTTCTTAGATATTCCAGTTCTGGATAGTGTGTCACTCTGTGAATCTTTTTCAGTTAGAAAATATTTCTTATTATTGGCCTTACTGGCTAATTGGTAGAAACTTTGGCCCCCTTGGGACCAATTGGGGACACTCCTCAGGATTTTGCCTCTAATGGCAGGAAAGTGGCCAAATGGCCCAATGCAAAATACAACAAATGACCCCCACATTGTCATAAATCTCCATGTATTTTAACTGCCAGTTGGGAAAATTCCCCAAGCCGTAACAAAGAAGTTATTTTAGTCCAAACCACGATAGTAACAGTTTTGGAAGGGACAGACAAATGATGTCATCAAACAGTATGCGTCTTTCCAAAGGGCATTTGGAACATTTTTCCACCGTCTTTCATGGACTCTTGGAAACAGCTTATGGAAGATCTACACTGATACTTATTATTCATATATATATATAAAAAAAACTATTTTGCCAAAGCATTAGCATTATGGCCTCTCAGCAAAAGTGGCCCGGATTCGATCCGTCTGGATGGCCCTTTTTTGGGGGATTTGCATGTTCTTCCCGTGTCAGCGTGGTTTTCCCCTCAGTCCAAAGACAAGCAGCTTAGGTGAATTGATGACTCTAAAATCCCCTGTAGGTGTGAATGTGAGCGTGAATGGTTGTCCGTGTCTTTGAGCCAGCCTTGTGATAGTCTGGCGGCCTCTCCAGGGTGAATCTCGCCTTCGCCCAATGTCGGCTGATCGGCTCCAGCCCTGAGTAGGGTAAGGGTTTAGAGATGATGGATGGATGTTGGAACAAAATAGTGCTAAAAAGGTTGAAAAACTGCCATTGAGACATCAAGTTAATAAGAATGTCTGTGTTATTAATTTCATTTTTTCCTAAATGATAATAACAAAAGGATATTACAAACAACAACTTTTTCGATGTCTTGTTGTGTCTGAATGCAGCATTTGAACTTAATCTACTTGAATGATTCCTTTGGTTGTCCCCACATGGTTGAATGCACTTAAAGGCGTCAACTAAATGAATGTAATGTAGTGAAGTGCAGATCCAACATGATACACGGTACATTGCTTTTAATCAAAAGAATGAGACAATTTCTCCAGGCCAATGTTAAATCCCTTTCATAGTCTTTTTTATTTTTTATTCAAAGGCTGTAAATTTATTTTTTCTACAGTGTAAAAGGTCACAATTTGAACTCAAGTTGAAAAGAAGGGGATTTTCAAAAAGAAATGTGAATAATATAAAAAGAATTGTCATAGTAGAAGAGCAACAACATCCATACAGTATGTTCCACTAAGCAAAGAAATCACATGACTGTGTGGGGAGAGAAAGATGAAAACTACAAGTTTAGAAAATCTGTAACGTCTGTCGCAAAACAAGCTCAGTTGAGGAAGGATGTGGAATACGAAGCAGGGTCAGGAACAGAAATATCAACATAACACTATTCACAAAACAAAGTATAAAAACTGTAATTCTGAACAACAACATGAAATATACCTCATTAACAGCCATCGGAGGAATAAAGGGGACATTTATGGTGAACACTCACACAGTGTACAGTCATAAGAAAATAGACAGAAGTAAATTAGAATATAGAATATGACCAAAAGGATATATATAGTTCATTATTTATTTATTTATATATATA